GTATAGCACATCTGCTATGAGCATTATCGACAGCTCTTAGTGCCAACAGTCCATGTGATGGCCATTGCAGTAGGGATAATAGCAATATCTGCTATGAGCATTATGACAGCTCTTAGTGCAACAGTCCATGTGATGGCCACTGCAGTATGGTATAATAGCAACATCTGCTATGAGCATTATGACAGCTCTTAGTGCAACAGTCCATGTGATGGCCACTGCAGTAGGGCATAATAGCAATATCTGCTATGAGCATTATGACAGCTCTTAGTGCAACAGTCCCCATTACAAGCCACAAACCATTAAGATAGTTCATCCAAAGTTACCAAACACATCCAAATAACCAATATATATATGAAAAGTAACAAAGCACATCTTGCTGGAAATTGGAAGTTCTTGTCTAATCTGCCTGACAACACTCCTAGGTATCTAACAGTAGGAGAATTCAATGCCAGATACTTCATTTGAGATGCAGGTGTAAAAACTAATGGAAGAAGTTTACATTTTGCTCTCCACAGTATAGCCACCAACCTTATATGCTAAACTCAGGTAAACCAACAAGAATCTCTGATTGCCAAGGTGACGGGACTCCCCTATATATCTTACTTATGCTGACCCCACCTTGAATGCCATCTTTACCTAGTATAGTGTGCATAATATATGCAGTGATCACCAGAAATTGGAATAAAATAATCTAGATACACAAACAAGCATAAAAAGCTTTCTAAAAACACGACTTGCTTATGTTCTTCTGAAGTCTTATTCATTCCATTGTAGATTATGCACAGTACTGATCATCAGTATGAGTGCTACATCACTAAATAAAACTGAGAAGATACAAAATACCCATTTAAGACTGATTCATGAGATGTACTATAGTCACCCCTACCAAAACCCTTCTTCTTCAGAGCCTTGGAGTGTAAAGACCAAGCGTTCCATTATTGAACCACTGAAACATTCCAGCTTCACAATGACCCCACAGATACCAACCAAGCACAGGATTGCCTAAAAGATACTTCAGGAGGCAGTCATGGATGAACTGATACTATACTGCCACCACTGCCACTAGAAAAAATGCAACTGTTTCTGAGTAATTTGATGATGTTGATTCTAAGAATCATGTTGAAAATTATTGATCACCTATAGTTTTCGAGTTATGATAGATTTATTCAAAATACTCTTATATATCGTGAAAATAACTTTTTCTTTGATAACTTTATTTATTTATTGAAAATTGCATTTAAGAATGTATAATCTACATGCTTTGATAAGTTTCTTTCATGTTCACAGCATAAGCAACAGAAATTGATGGTTTAGTGTTCCCATTGTGCAAAAGTACAGCTTTCAGACTAACTTTAGATGAATCAATAAAAAGTCTCCATTTTTGAGGATGATGTTCAGTACCTAATTCTTCCATTAGTGCATCAACATTTGTATAGAAAAACAAAGTATCTTGCACGCTGTAGTGAAAAGCAAGACTTTGATGGCAACTTTGGTAAATTGAAACTTTGTTTCTGGAGCTAATAAATTCCATTGGTCTAAACTAGAGCCAAGAAGTTCCCCATTCTGCATTGATAGAGACAAGTCAAGAATCAGATCATTTAGCTAAAATGCTACATTTATAGAATCAAGTCATAAATCAGATCATTTAGCTCTTCTTGTGTGATCAGACGAGGCAGTTTATGTTCAGGTACCACAGGAATAGAATTACTAGGTGCAGAGGATGAAGATGATTCATTTTCTTCTTTGCAGGATAATTCTTCTGTTTTCCAATTTGCTGATGGATGTGGCACTGGAAGATCATCCCCATGAGGTACTGGTTTCATAGCAGATGCAATATCTGGATATTTAATGTATTCTTTAGTTTTGCCTGAATATCCAGAAACTTTAGTCAGTCATGCAAAAGTAACAGTCAGTTAAATTATCTTTGGGCTTATGCCATATCATGGGAACTGCAAATGGCATACTTGCTCTCTTCTTATTCAACCACTGTATCAAGCCAGATGTGCAAACTGTACAATACACCTATGGAGCCCAATGTTTTTCTTGGCCACCGATTTTAAACTCAAAAATAGTGGTAGTAAGCTATCTTTACCTTGTGTATGTGATGTTTTTCCTTCATGAAACTGTAATATATTTTCCACAAATGTAGTAGAAACTATTTGGGTGATTTTTGCATTTTACTTGAGCTGCTGGCAACCAGCATTTCAAATCATTTTCTAAAAAATATCAAAGAATTTATATTTACAAAACTAGAGTTTAAATGATTTAAAAAAAAAAAAAATTTTTGCAGAATTTGATTATATCGTGGGTATAATGCAAGGAAGAAGATCGGACTTTGTTTTGACTGTACGTGGAGAGAGGCAAAATGGCCAACTGAGTGAGTAAGATGCAATTGAGAGAGAGGATCTGACTTTTCCTCTTTTATGCTCAGTTGAGGGACGTCTCAAATGTTCCAGCAAACTGAGCTCCTGAGGGTTTTGTGATTCCCGGGTGGAGCAGGTGAGCATGGAAATGAAGCAAAACTGGTGCAATTTGTTACAAATAAATTGATAACAAAGAGCATATATGAACAATACATTTGGAATTTTACACCAATATAATACAGTCAATGTTTGAAGTTATAAAAAATTCATGCCTCTTACCCACTAAACTATCCAAGTAAACTTAATTTCACAGCATAAATCTATTGTACTGAGTTGATTACATGGTATTTCATAGTCAAATTACCCCAACCACCTGAGTTTTCTCCAGTAACAAACTTTTTATTGTCCAGTGTAATCCATCACCACCCAGTCTCAGATGCCTTCGGGTGGAATAAACATTTTCACCACTTGGAGCTGCGGAAATCAGCCAAAGCAGAAAATGTAAAGTTTGGGCAGAGGATGAAACACAAAAAAGCCTGTTTAAAGACCACAAATGGCAGTTATCTATAATCAAAGCCACAGTTGATTTATACACTACAGGTAGCAAAAAAACTAGCTGGTCATTCATTGTTTTGCAAAGCAAAAACATTCTGCATAAGGCTGATGGATCATTCAAGCTTCTCTCAAGCAGCACAAGGATGCAGCTGGAAGCCATAAAAAAAGTTCTCCTCCAGAATCCTGAAAGCAGTGAATTGCAAATGGACAGCACCACCAATGTAATATTTGTGACTGACTCACACAGAGTGCTGTATAAAATTCAGGGTGGTTAGTCTCCAGATGGATGAAAGAAAACAAAGTACCTAGAAGTCAAGAGAAACTCTTTTACCAAATCCTAAACAACCTAAATGTAAGATAATAACCTCCTCTGCAATAGTAAGGTCAAAGCAGTAATCATGGAAGGTCTTTATTGACATTCAGAATGAATTAAGACACTGGAAAACAATGTACTATATGATGTAGCTAGAAAAAAAGGAAAAAGATGAAGAATCGGTAGAACAGTATACAGCCAGAAGGTGACTAGTAACATCAGTAAAGGAATTATTTTCTACTTCCCACAAGGCAGTGAGCTTCCACATGAAGGGTTAGCATCTGTCAGAGCAAATTCGGGGATTTTCACACTGTCAAACTTCATAAAGTTTATAATGTAAACCCAAAATTAACAAAAATAAACCATCAGATATTTTTGCTGATGCTAGCGTTTGATGAACAAATATTTGAGCATGGGTTTCAACAAAATTTTTTAAGACTTCTAATTCCTGATGAAAATGCACAACAAAATATTCCTCAAGTGAGTTAGATATAACCTTAAAGTTAAATGAGTTTAAACTAAAGGCTAATTATAAAAAAAAAATAGCATATATTTTGAATTAAAAGAAACAAAAACATCCAAGTTAACCTCTCTACATCTGACCATGTTTCTTGATTTTTCTAATATTAAAATAAATGATGTAAAAAAATTATTTATATTACCTTTTCTTTCTGTTTCAGAAGCTGGTTAATAAATTTACTTTGGACTTTCAAAAGGGTCTCATTTTCATCAAACAAGAAGTGCGACACATGATGGATAGCCATTAAATAAAGTACAGGACTCCCTGTGTTTGTCAGGGTACCTAACACCAACACAACATTAGATATCTGTCACCAATTTATCTTCCTTCTAAATATATATTGCACAGCTGCTTAGTGAATGAGCAAAAAATAAGCATGCAGAATTAATATTATTATATGGATGTAATACATTAATTAATACTATTATTGTAAACTATACTTCTATTTAGTTATTTGCTAGAGGGAGCTGCTAATTAAAATAATGACTAAATTTAGAATGTTCATAAAAATAGTCCTAGAATACCTAGAAAGATAACGAAGATGCAATAATCTAGAAATTCCATAGAATTTGGAGGAATGAGAGTGCGTTATAAATACAGGTAGCAGGTAATAAATAAGAAGTTAACACTATTGACAAAGGAGAGTCAAAGCGAGTATGTCTAAACTGTTTTATTGAACTACATTTAAAATTTAATTAAGCTATTTTCTTATCAATGTATGTCAAGAATATTGGCATAAAAATACAGTTTACCATTCAAATTTTTATATTATCTAATACACCACTGAAGCACATGATGTGGTAGTGCTGTGTCTTCTTAACGGAAAGAGCATATTCTATACAACATAAATCAAAATGATTGTCTGTTTTCTTTTAGTGGTCAAAACTGATAGTTTGTGAGGAGAGCTTGATGTGTTTATACATTGCTTTGAGCAATAATGGAATTTTTAAACCTATTTGAAACATTCTATTCTAGTACCCAGTATATTTTTGTGTTCTATGAACTATTTTTGGACAACACATAATAGGGAAAACAAATAGGCTTACCAAATAATGCACCAAGAGAAAAAGGCCTCAAGGCTAAAATAAGAGCTAAATTTATGTTCTATGTATACTTTATATATTTATTGATATATATGTTTCTTAATAAAAGAAATTAAAATGTAAAAAATTTGAAACTTATTAGATTACACAGGAAAGTTTGAAAAAGTTATTGTGATTTTTCTTAGAGGAACTATGTGTGCTGTCATCTCTTGATATAACATGATAGTTTTTTTACTTTAAACTCTTGCTAGGTGACTTTTTGCTTTGTTACACTATATAGAAAGGGTTCAATGAAGAATAAAACCATAAAATTAAATAAAAGAAGATGTGAAAGTTTACAAGGCCTAAGCTGTTAGGATAAATAATTATAATTTTAGATTTTATTCCATATTTTTCAACTTTTGAATCACTGAAAATTGATGATTTTGTTACAGTTAGTGTTAAAGTACAGACAAAATATAAAGTTTTACAAAAAAAAAAAAAACTTCTGATATTTATTTAGTAGAGTCTAGAGGTTATGCAAACGAAATACAAAAACAATAAGATAAAAAAATGTATCATATTTTTGTAACGAAAATCACCTTTCACTCAGACTAACTCAGTAAAGGCTTCATAAATTCAGACAAATCTTTAGTAAAAATACTTTATTAAAAATCTGATTTTTTTTTGTATAACATATTCATAATGTTTACTAAAAGCTTACCAAATTCATGAAGAAAAACTTAATGCATTCAGTTATAGTATGATTTCATGATTACAAAGTTAGTCAATGAGTATTCATTGAGTTTTTCAGTTCAGTATTAAACAGTGAGTTATCACATCTATTCTGCTATACAGTTACTCAGTGAGTTATGTGTTTGTTTATTGATCAAAGCTAAGGAAGTTATGTACATGTTCCATTAGCAAGGAATTTCTGTTGATACATTGTTTGTGAACTTAGGCCTACAACTTATATCAAAGTTAAAATATCCTGTAGAAATGTTATAAAAGAAATGAACTAATTTACTATCGCTACATGGATTGGGCATGGCATTATCTTTGTCAGATAATCTAAACAACCCGTCCAATGATAAAACATGTTACAGCATTATTATATGGTTGTAATACACTACTTAATATTAAGTGGATACTTAACAACTTAAATTATTTAAGTTTGAGTTAGGAACAAAGTTCACTACAGACAAATCAATAACTAAGATTTATAAAACTAATGATAATAAAGGGCTTCATAAATATAAACAATGAATAAATGCTTTGAAGTATATAAAAAATAGTTTAATGGTGTGTTTGTGAAACAAAATGAAGAAAGCTAAATATTCATAAAGCTAAGACTAGAAAATATACAAATGAAACAATATTCTAAATTAGAATTACAGTGGTCTGATAATACCACAAGTGATATTTTCCAAAGATAAATTATAGTGAAACATACCAAACCCATGCAATAACAAGCTAAAAACTAATTACAAATGTACTACAGTTAAAGCTATTGGTAAAGATTTTAGTTAATTTCTTTATGAAAAGCCACAACATTTCTGGGAAGCTATTGCCTTTATTTCAAACTTGTAATAATATAAGACTTTTCAAACTGGTATGCTGTTATTCATATTTTATGTAATCAACCATACTTCTTAAGTTGAAATTCACTCAAATTATCGACCTTTTAATTTTGACTTATTAGTGGCTTATTTGATTTTGAAAAATAAGTTCAAATATCATTTGTATTTTCACAAAAATGGAATTTTTAGTATTATATCATACAACATACATTTGTAATTTCTAGTTGAAGTAAATTTGGGCCACTATAGTCCATAAAATACAGTTTGTTATTCTTGATAAGCATTCTATAATTCCAACATGAAAAAAATAATTAAATATTATGTCACTTCTGAATGTCTTTCCTTGTGCAAGTTATCCTTTAACACGAGTCTACAATTAGCAAGAAAAAAGAAATTATGAGCTTATATACACACACACACACACACACCTGAAAGTAGACTTTTCTGGTAAAGAGCTATCATCTCCACATCTTTCTCTAGAGGGAACAAATAGTTGTCCAACGGAACAAGCAGCTAAAAGAGAATATCAAATCTTTCATAGAACAAATCTCAGACTTTAATATGGTGTAATGTTGTACACAAAATCACTAAAAAACAGCTGTTGATTTATAACGCTAAGTTTTAACAACATGTATGATTGTGTAAATTATGTTATGAATTCAATAGGACATTTTATTAATTAAATATCTGTGCACATCATGCACAGCTAATATGTAAGATTGGAAGAGCACAGTAGAAGCTAATTATCATGATTACATAAATCCAATCAAAGTGTGTATGATTATAGTAATTGAAAAGGGTGACTAAAAAAAAGGGTTTACCTGAGCAAAAGGAACACCTAGAATACGAAGAGCTGGTGTATGTTCAGAAAACAGTAACTTTCTCAGAGTGGAATCATAGCACTGCTGCAAGGGAACCATAATGAAACTACCAAACAGTGAGTCCCCATAAGAGACACTTTCAAAGTGTTCCAGCAGCTCCAGGTAGCTAGAAATGTTATAAGGTTCAAAACTTTTAATTTACATATTGATATTAAACCAAAAATAACATTCTAAAATTTATGTAACAGTATTTCAGTATTTACTTATGATATATTTGTTCAAAAAAATCCCTTAACAATATACAGTTGTTCTATGAAACATATCAAACCCAAGCTAAAACTAAATTACAACTTTACTATGAAACATATCAAACCCCTGCTAAAACATGCTTATAAGCACATTATATTTTTAAACACTACATTCTGAATCTAATTCTTTAGGGATTTTCAAGAATTAGTTGACCTGAAGAGATATGGGTTTAGGAAACAAGTCAATGACAATGGATGTGACAAAATAATGTGGTTGGAATACTATTTTTTATTCCCTTTTCTAATTCTTGAAAATCCCTAAAGGACTAGATTAAAAATGTAGTGTTTAAAAATGTAATAGGCCTAATACTAATGTCTTATGACAAGTATATTTCTAATCATTCTTTGTCAGCTTGTAAAAGGATTACATATCATAACAATTGTTGTTGTATCAAATGGCTTATATAAGTAGCATTCTAACCACAACAGTGTTTGTTGTATCCCAGCTGACCGGAAGGGCTCGAGATTGAGTAAAATGTGTCATTGGCAATGGATGTGACAAATTTAGTGTGGTTGGAATACTATTATTAAGTGCTTTTCTACTACTTGAAAATCTTTAAAGGAGAAGATGAACAATGTAGTGTTTAAAAGTGTAAAATGCCTAATACTAATATTATATCACAAGCAAGATTAATGTAATTTGCTAATTGATTAATTGTCAGGCTTGTTAATCAATTACATTCAACTAGTCTATTATTCTTATATGAGAGTAATATTCCCTTTAAAAAAAAATTCAAACTACCTTTTATTTAATATGATAGACATCTTCTGGTACAACAAGGTTGATTGAAAATAATTTTGTCACAAGACATTACTATTAGGCCTATTATATTTTTAATGCCATATTCTTCACTTAACCCCTTAGGGATTTGTGTGAATTAAAAGAGTGTATAATATTAGATTTCAACCACACTATGTTTGCCTTATCCATTGCCAATAACATGTTTGGCTCAATCCAGAACTCATCATGCCAGCTGTGATACAATGAACACAGAAGTAGTTGGAACATATCATAACACTTGTTGTAACAAATAGCTTATAGTGTCACACTATGTACCTTTGAATATACCAAGCATTCTTTTTAACACTATTATGAAATATTTTGAGAACATTCATCTGTATTTTAATATTGTAATTACTAATAGTCTCTGTATTTTAATATTGTAATTACTATTAGAGAGCCTCTGTATTTTAGTATTGTAATTACTATTCGAGAGCCTCTGTATTTTAATATTGTAATTACTATTAGAGAGACAGATATTATAATATTGTAATTACCATTAGAGAGCCTCTGTATTTTAATATTGCAATTACTATTAGAGAGACAGATATTATAATATTGTAATTAATATTAGAGTGCTTCTGTATTTTAATACTGTAATTATTATTAGAGCCTCTGTATTTTAATATTGTAATTACTATTAGAGAGCCTCTGTATTTTAATATTGTAATTACTATTAGAGAGCCTCTGTATTTTAATATTGTAA